GGGGAAGAAACTAAAATAAAGAAGTACGAGAGATAAGACCAGAGTTCCTGTTATTTCTTCTTTATGCTCTTCCCCTGCATTGGAAGGCAGCTGAGGTCTCAACAACTGCAGACTTCCAAGAGAATTCCTCTCTTTCTAGCCCGAGGGGCAGGAGTAGAAGTCCCTTTGGGACAGAGACTGGGAGAAATCCCACCGGCTTCCCTCAAAACCCTATTAACATGTAGTTTGTACATTCTAGATGTTTTTTGTGCATGCCTTTAAAAAACATGGTCAATTATTCCAAATGTTTTGTTTTTTCCTCAACAAGAGACCGTGTTTATGATATAAACTTACTACACAGGCATCATAAACTGATTTTGTTCATAATTTATACAACAGTCATAGCCTGGGTCAGTGCGTTTCAATCACTGTACTGTGAGTCCAGCCAGTCACCTCAGATTCTGGTTCAGTAGGTCCGAGAATCATTTATAGGGACTCCCGATGCTGCCAGTAGGTGCCTGCCTGGGCTTTGAGTAGCAAGCGAGCCGTTATTTAATAACAATTCCTGATTAGCTTATTTCCACTGTGTTCCTTTTATAAATACTATTATATTGGGATATTTCTACCTAAAGCTTTGATTCCCGTTTGGCATCATTTTTTTGCGGTAGACTCTGTGACTCAGGGTCAACAAGTCACAGGCAATGCGGTTTGGATTGCTGGTCAGTATCGATGATGATTTTTGCAGGGGAATTTTGCTGATTGTAATAACGCTATTGCTCCCTTAGCAATAGGAAGTTGAAGAAGTTGAGGTTTAGACAGGCCCAGTTGTAGTAACGCTATTGCTCCCCAAGCGAGAGGAAGTTGAGGAAGTTGAGGGTTAGACGGGTCTGGCCGCCTCGGGTCACCAGCCAAGTGGAAGAGCCCGGCCTGCCCGCCCACCCCCGGCCAGCTGCCATTACTCTGCTAACTTAATACAGGAGCAACGAGCTCCTGTAAATGTCAGTTGGTATGTTTGTTTCACAGTCTCCATGCCACCCGCTGGTCTTGTCCTTTGTTCTCTGGTACATTTTCTCTCCTACGTTGGTCTTATTTACTTGATTTATGTGTTCCGTGTCCATGAAGAAGTTGTAAACTGGTTTCTGCTCCAGTTGTTTTGCAACATGTCTTTTACTTTGTTTGCTTTATTTTAAAAATCATAATTAAAAATTTTTATGTAGCCATAACCATCTCTCTTCCTTGCCTGTTTCCCACTAAGCTTGAAGAGAGTGCCCCTCCCAGAGGTTTGACAGTCATGGAAAGAGATTTTTTTAAAAGAAAGACTAGATGTTTCAATGGCACTTATAAGAAATGCAGCATTAATTTTCGGCTATTTTTTTCTCAGTGCTGTGTTTACATGGTAATTTCTCCCTCCTCCCCACGTGTACAGGTTCCCCACAAATGTTTTCATGCTAAAATGGGAAGGCAAATTATGGGGTGGTGGTGCCTGAGAATAGGATTTCTAGTTTAAAAAACAATTTTTGGAAAGATGGTCTGAAATAAAATAAAATGAAAAGCTACCCAGGCTTTTTTTACCGTAATTTTCTTCTTTACATTATCCATTGTTATGATAGAACTGGACCCAACTTTCAATTTAAATCTTTTGAAAAATTTCTATCATGTTTATTACATACGTGCAATTTAAAAAAGCAAAGGAGCACCTGAATGAATGGCTCAGTTGGTTAAGCGTCTGGCTTCAGCTCAGGTCATGATCTCACAGTTCATGAGTTCCAGCCCCGTGTCAGGCTCTCTGCTGACAGCTTGGAGCCTGGAGCCTGCTTTGGATTCTGTGTCTCCCTCTTTCTGCCCATCCCTCAAACTCTCTCTCTTTCCAAAAATAAACATTTAAAAAATGTGTTGTTTTTTTTTTTTTAATTTTATTTCTAGGAGAGAGAGAGACAGCGTGAGCAGGGGAGGGTCAGAGAGAGAGGGAGATACAGACTCTGAAATAGGCCCCAGGCTCTGAGCTGGCAGTCAGCACAGAGCCCGACGCGGGGCTCGAATCCACAAACCGTGAGATCATGACCTAAGCGAAAGCCGGATGCTTAACCGACTAAGCCACCCAGGCGCCCCTAAAAAATGTTTTTAAACAAACGGTTCTACACAACTTTCATGACACATAGTAGCCACTGCCACCCCACCCTGCCCCGAGTTCTGACCCAACCTCAGCCCACGGTCCTAACTGCTTTCAACAATTTTAACTAAATCTGGTGGTGCTTTCCTTCATACTTTTTACTTTTTACAGATTTTGTGTGTGTGTGTGTTACCCTGTAAGGGTCATGGCAGTTCCATTTCTGTTTTTCTGATGGAAATCCTATTATTGACCTCCTACCGGGAAGGATCAGAGGGAGGGTCCTCACTGCCCCAGCCCCCTCCCCTGGCATGAGTTCTGTACCTCCCACCCCCCGTGGGCGGTCTTGCTTCCCGTCCCCTCTTCCCGGTCTGTTCTGATTTAACTCCACACTCCGTGCTCACATTATTAGCTTGTAAGTGCTCTTTGTGGCCAGCTCATGTCGTTTCCTATAATTACTCTTCTGCACAATATTTTGTTTCCTGGAGGGTTAGTGATTGCCTTGCCTTTTGCTTTCCTAGTGTTGTGTGTGCACGCCCACCCCCCTATGGTGTCACCTCCCCACGGAAGACCCACTGCACAGCTCACCATCCAGGCTCACAGCCCCTCGGCAGATCCAGGCTCACAGCCCCTCAGCTCTGCCTTCACTGACATCTTAGCAAATCCCATCTGTTTTTTTCCAGCTGCCTCTGCTTTACAAATCATATCCTCTCTAGTTCTCTGAAGAGTATGTAGGTGATAAATACTGTGAAATCTTGTGGAAATGGCTTTAGTCTGTCCTATACTGTAGGGTTGCGTAGTAATATGGCTGGGCAGAGGGTGCTAAGCTGAAAATCATTTTCCCACAGAACTTGGAGGCATTTTTCTAAAGCCTTCTGTTTTCCAGGGTTGTCTTTGAAAGAGCCTGACTCTTAATCCTTTGTATGAAGCTTGTTTGTTTGTTTGTTCTATAAATACGTCATGACTTTAATTTTAATGTTTACTTATTTTTGAGACAGAAAGAGTGCGAGCTGGGGAGGAGTAGAGAGAAAAGGAGACACAGAATCCGAAGCAGGCTCCAGGCTCTGAGCTGTGAGCACAGAGCCCGACGTGGGGCTTGAACTCACTGCAAGGTCATGACCTGAGCTGAAGTCAGACACCCCAAGTATGAGGCTTGTCTTTGATCTCTGGAGGCGGTAGGGTCTCTTGCTAAGTCCTCACTCCCTGCCTGAAATCTCATGGTGCCAAGTCCTGTCTTATCGGTCAGTTTTCTTGTGTCGAACTACCCATTTGATGACCCGTTGAATTTGAAAATCCCATCTTCTCTGTGCGGTGTGTTCAACCCTGCAGTTTTAAACTAGAAATCTTGATACATTTTCTTAAAGGGAGATTGTAATAGACCATGTGTTTCCCGAAGCCTGGCATGTTATCAGTGAAATGTCGCAAAGGGTCACAGGGATGAATCTGGCTAACTAACCAGAATGTCACAGTGTGCTGGCAAGCTAAAATACAGACCAGCACACGTTTCGTTTGACAGAGCAAATAAAACCTGCAATGAGTGAGTTGTTTAAGCCTCTAATGATTGCAGCATGTAGCCCAGACTTGTATCAGAGACGGAGAGATTTTGCCATGAGAGTTTTTCACCCTTACTGAAAAGGAGGAACACACAGTTCCCCTGATGTCATTTTGGTAGATTGAAGGTACAACCAGTTCAGTCCCCTGTTTCAGTTGGGTTGCCGGAAACCCCGTCTGACTTCCTCGCTGTCCAGCATCAGCTAGGTCAGTAGATCTGTACTAGATAGTTTTCCAAAGTGGCTCTGGTAGTAAATCGATCAATTACTGTTTCTCTGTCAGTGTAATTTTACAAAGTGGGTAAGCATTTGCTGAACTGTGTTCCAGAAAGCACGAGCATGTCAGGGATGCCGGAACGTGGATGGGTGGGGATTTTACGTGTCTTGATCAAAGCTCATAAAACCAGAACATTCCTGTGTGCCTCCTCTCCTCACTCAGCACCCACACCCAGCGCTTCCATGACTCCATGTGGGCGGTTGATTCTGACGCTGCCATCCAGGAGAGAGCTCCGTGTCACGCTGACGGCCCCCCTCCCCCTTCAGACACCAGTGATGAGTGCAGGCTGTCACTTGTGCGTCTGACCACCCAGCAACGAATTGGGGGTCCTGTGACCCTCCCCAGCTTTGGTTAACTGCTAACAGTTGCTCCCAGAACTAAGGAAAACACCTTATTTACCAGAGACCCAGTGTATTGTAAGAGGATATAACTTAAGGTGGCCGGCTGGCAGGGGTGCACTGGGTGGGGTCTGGGAAGGGGCACAGAGCTCCCAGCCCCCCAATGTCTCTACTTTTTCATCAGCCTGGAAGCCTTCTGAACCTCCATCCTTGTGGATTTTTGTGGAGGCTTCATTCTGTAAGCAGGATTTTTTTTAATGTTTTTATTTATATTTGAGAGAGACCGAGCAGGGGAGGGTCAGAGAGGGGGAGACACAGAATCGGAAGCAGGCTCCAGGCTCCGAGTTGTCAGCATAGAGCCTGACTTGGGGCTCAAACCCACGAACCGTGAGATCATGACCTGAGCCATGACCTGATAACTGGCTGAGGCCACTGTAAGCAGGACTGATAGGCCACTGGCCATCGCATTATCTCTCCAGCCCTCTCCCCTCCTTGAAGGCCCAGCCTTCTGATCATCGGGTTGGCTTTCCTGGCATCCAACCTTCCGGGGCTTTCCTGGGGTCACCGCGTTAACGTGCCCTCAGGTGTGGGTGAAAGCGGCTGGTTATGAATAACCAAAGACGCGGAGAGCGAAGTCCAAGGCCCAGTATGTGTTTCTCGCTATCGCAAAGCCTCGCCCTGACCCTACGTGGGAATGGCGGCACTTTGGTGTGGACTGACCGTGAATCTTGTTTCTCCTTTCCCACCAGCTGTTTGGAGACTGGGAAGCCCAGGTGCGGAGAATAATGAAGCTCATCGCCGGCGGCGGCCTATCTATCACCGGCTCCCACAACATGTGCGGGGACTACCTGTACAGCGGCCACACGGTCATGCTTACGCTCACTTACTTATTTATCAAGGAGTGTAAGTCAAGGACAGCCCTCCGACAGCTCCTCGCCACGCCCAGATGCCGCAGGCCCCCAGTGTAGCACGTGGGGGGGTCGCTGCTCTTCCCCAGGGGTGACTCGTTTTCTCCAATGTCCGTGGAGCACTCGGGCTGCGTTATAGCTGCAGGAAGCCCCTGAGCCCAGCCCGGCAGGACGTGCTGTAGCCCATGTGTCCGTCTGTGTGCCTCACGCCGAGTGTGGGGGCTCAGCGAGGTGTCCGTGGGCTCAGGGACACTAAGTGATGCAGGCGCTGAATGGGAATGTCCTGTAAAATGTACTTAGGGGCCTGAGGGCTCAGGCGGTTAGGCATCCATTTCCTGATTTCAGCTCAGGTCATGGTCTCACAGTTTGTGGGTTCGAGCCCCACATCAGGCTCTGCACTGACAGCACCAAGCCTGCTTGAGATTCTCTCTCCATCTCGCTCGCTCTCTCTCCCTGTCAAAATAAATAAACTTTAGAAACAACTATCTAAAATATATTTTTAAACGTACTTAAAATATTTTATTATGGAACATACAAAAAATATTTAAGTATATACCCCTTTCCTCTGCTCAGATTTAATAGATCCTAGCATTTACTGTATCTGTTTCAGATAACCCTTTAAAAAGCAAATAAAATGGTAATATATGATGAAGGCCGTTCACGCCTTCCTTCCCATTTTCCTGTGTCACTTCCTAGCGTGTTTTAAGACTTGGCCTGTCGTGGTTTTGTGGTTTCTAAAGTTTCCATAAATGGTACGGTGTTGTATCTGGTCTTCCGCCCTTTATCCCCTCAGATTATTTGTGAGACATGAGGCTCTGGTTCATTTTACTTTTTTTCCTCCTGCTGGAAGACGCGGTGGCCCTTCGTGTTTTACTGGTGCACACAGCGCAGATGAGCGCTGTATAGGCGGTTTCCGTGCGGGCCTGGGAGTGGGGCCAGGCGCCGGTACCTCAGGGGAGGAAGGATCCGCACAGTGTGGTCTGCAGGGTCTGGGGTGAGCATGTGGCACCTTCTGAGTGAATTCTTACACTTTGTTAGTTTCACCCTTGTGCTGGCAGGGGACAGCCCAGTGGGCATGGAAGTGGGAGCCCCAGGGCCTGGGGTCACAGTCTGGGGACGCCCCCTGTTGGTTGCACTTTATTGGCAGTGAAGTCTTAACCTTGAAGGAAGCCCAGCCATGTTGGGAAACTCGGAGGACTCACTCACAGCCTCTGACTTTGAGTCCTGGTGCCGCCGCCAGCTCTGTGACCCCAGGGAAGACCTTAACCTTTGTAGGTCTTAGCTTCCTCATCTTTAGAGAGGCACTGATAGCCGCTCTATGGCTGAGGGACAGGATGTAAAAATTAACACGGATGACATGTTCAGACTCTAATAGGCACATGGAGAATGAATGGTAGCTGCTTGGCTGTGTTGTGAGGGTAGCAATACAGATTTTCCTGGGGATGGGATGGTGCCCCTGCCCTGACCACACCCCCCCCTTTGGTTTCTGATCCTGCTTCCTATTCAACTGCGGTTGTTTTTTCATAGCGTTTAACACCTTCTAACACAGTGTGAAATCTCCTTCTTTATTATAATTGTGTTGTCTCTCCTCTGTCTCAGGAAGGGATCTCCCTGAACAGAGGCAGGCTCTTTGTCCATTTCGCTTGTTGATCTCTGTAGCCAGAGCATTTCCTGTCCCACGCACAATAGTAGATGTTCAGTAAATATTGGTTAAACGAATGACTAGTTCTCACACGCCTTGAGAAGCCAATAAAAGTCTGAACTTTCTCCCCCTGGGTAGGGAGGATCCATCGCATTCAAATGACATTCTTAACATAAAATTTCAGACCCTCATCAGCCCATTCCTAGAGAATGCAAGGTAGGAAGGTCTGCAGGAATAGAGATTTTGATGCTACCCTCAGGGGGCTTACAAATCAAGGGACAGACGGGTGTTGATCTGACACTGCCCTGCCTTTGAATGCACTTGGACCAAAATTCCCAGGCACTTGATTCTTTATTTCTGTGTGAGAAATAGAATCTCAAAACTCTCAAAGACTCTCAGGTGTATAGTCGCAGAGCCTGGAAAGTAAATCAGACAGTTGTATCATTTATAATTGCCTAGTCTGTGTGTAAGGATCTATAGACCAAAAAGTATTGATTTTTGTTTGGAGCATTAACTCCACATTATTTATAAGTAAGTTGAATTAAATGTCCATGGACAAGGCTTTTTTTCATGATACATTATCCTCTCAGTTGTCCTTTTAAACTGTCTTTATGTGTGAATCAAGCAATAGACAAATGTAAATTATAATTGCTAATAGAGTCACTTCATAAAATAAGTTGCTTCCTTTTTTTTAACATTTGTTTGAGACAGTGTGAGCGGGGGAGGGGCAGAGAGAGGGAGAGACGATCTTTTTTTTTAATTATTGGGGGTTTTTTTTCTAATTTTTTTTAAACATTTATTCGTTTTCGAGAGACAGAAAACAGAGTGTGAGCAGGGGAGGGGCAGAGAGAGAGGGAGACACAGAATCCAAAGCAGGATCCAAGCTCTGAGCTGTCAGCACAGAGCCCAAGGCAGGGCTCAGACCCACAAACCATGAGATCGTGTCCTGAGCTGAAGTCGGACGCTTAACTGACTGAGCCACCCAGGTGCCCCAAGCTGCTTTCGTTCTAACCTTGATTACATATAAGCTAAAGCCCTTGGATTTGCAGCCCAGACGATCTGTTTCCAGAAGGAAGGATCAGAGTAACTGGTTTCACAAGCAGTAGGGGAGGCACGGTTGGGTGCCCTTTGTGGTACTTGAATAACGGGGCTGTTGTGAATTCCTCCTCTTTCCAGATTCCCCTCGACGACTGTGGTGGTACCACTGGATTTGCTGGCTCCTCAGCGTGGTTGGGATCTTCTGTATTCTCCTGGCGCATGACCACTACACTGTGGACGTGGTGGTGGCATATTACATCACCACGAGACTCTTCTGGTGGTACCACACTATGGCCAATCAGCAAGTGAGTTTTCCCCTTGTTGGGTTGTAGCTTCGACTCCTGGCCTGGCCGGTGCCCGGGGAGGCGGGGGGGGGGGGGGGGGGCACAGGGAACCCACCGATATCTTAGGTTTCTCTCCGAGAGGCCTAGGCAGCTAAGGTGACATCGTCTTTTGTAACACTGACCCACTTCAGAACAGGAAGTGAGCAAGAAACGTGTTAGTACAGTGACCGGGAGATGGCATTCTTCTGGAACAAGTGCTACCCTCCCCCTGCCCCTGATGAGTGCTTTCCAAGCTGTGCCCACCTGCTGCCTGATTGGCGCCCCCACTCCACCCCCCCGCCTCCACCCCCATTACACTGCCCGCCTTCTCCTGCCCTGGGCCCCTCAGCAGCCGGACCGTAACCGCCATCACTGAAGGGTAGCGGAGACACCAGCCGGGCCGCGCATTGACGCCCAAGGGCCCGGGTCGGCCCCGCGGTCTCCGTGCGCTCCGGAGCTGGGGGTTCTTTGCTCTCCTGCTCCAGGGGGCCTGGTGAGCACACGAGTGCGGAGCGGGGCGGGGCTATGCGTGTGCAACTGGGGTACGTGGCTGGACACGGGGCGGGCCTGGGGTCCTTTGGGAATTGTAATCGGGGACCTACGTCCCCCTCACGTGGAAGATCGTTAGAAAAGGATGCGCTTTGGTTCAGGGGCCTGCGAACCGCTCCCCCCGACCCGGTGTCCTCTCCTTGTCGCCGCAGGTGCTCAAAGAAGCCTCCCAGATGAACCTCCTGGCCAGGGTGTGGTGGTACAGGCCGTTTCAGTACTTCGAAAAGAACGTCCAGGGAATCGTACCTCGCTCCTACCACTGGCCCTTCCCCTGGCCCGCGCTCCACCTCGGCCGGCAAGTGAAGTACAGCCGCTTGGTGAGCGAGACATAACGGCCGCACCGCGGGGGGCCCCGAGGGCGCCTTCCAAGTGCCGAGGACTCCAGGGGAGCAGACGCCATCAACAGACACCTCCCGGCCCCATTACCTTTCAGCCGTTCCCTTGACTTAACCTTTTGAGTTACCTGGTCAGCACTGTGATCTTTCTTTCTCTCCAAAGGACCTGCGTTGGACAACAATAAAGAAAACGTCACCCATCACGCACTGTACACATTTCCTGTTCATCAGTCCGGGGTTCCGCATAACCTGGCGTCACCACGTTCCTTTGTATACGATGCAACAGCATAAATACAAGCTTTTATATCATCAGTTCTGGTCTTTCCAGTCACATCTGGAAAATAAAGCGTATTATTTTCTTGGGAAAACATACTTTTCATATCTCTTGCCCCAAAGATTGGGCTGTAAGCCATTTTCTAGCAAATGTCTCTATGAAGGTTTCTAAGCACCTGACTGGGGTTCGATTCTGAAATCTTTCTACCTGTTGCACCGCTATTCAAATAAAAAAATGACAGACACCGAAAGGTTTGGTAACTTTGGGTTTTGTAAAAATCAGCAGAGAGAGTGTGTCAAAAAGTGCAAAAAAAAAAAAGATTCTGTTATAAAGTGATTTTCTAAGTATTTCCTAACTTTATTTTTCAAAATGATGTTATGAAAACCAAATTTCAAGATTTTTACATGTCAGAAGAGAGTTAAAATTTAAAAATGCTTCTTGGGAGAGAAATTTGTCTATGTTTCTAGTGCCTTTCTTGTCTTGATTGTATGGTCCGTAGGCAATCTTAAATGTTTTTATTTAAAATAAAATACTCCATGAAAATATAAATGTATGTATACACTACTAAATTTTGCATTTATAGCTAAATTAAATCCAATGACTGCTTTATGGTTTTTAAATCGCTATGAATTAATGAGCGGGGGAGTTAATTAGAAAATCAGAGCCCTGTTCCCATATTGTGAGCAGGCAGCAATGACATGACCACTTACGTTATTTTATCGTCTTTTTGGTAGTGCGATTTTAACTATATAATGAAAACAGCCATGAACACTTTGTTTTTAAAAAGAGAGTTTTGAAAACGATCACTTAACTAAAACTTGAAAGCTATAAATTAGTTATCCATACTCTCATGACAATTTTGTTAGTGAACAACAAAACAGAGATCTATTTCTTTAAAAGATATTTGTGCAGAAACTGCATGTAACTCTAAGTTTTACTCCTAACAGAAGTATGTTTGGGGAAGTATTCTATTCCATACTTGCCAACGTGGAGAACAAAATAGTTTTTTAAGAATGAAGAAGTATATATATCCACTCTGTATTTTACGTGCAGCAGAATTACCTTCCGTAGGGGTTTTTGTTTTTTTTTTTTTTTTTTTTTGGTGTATTCACAAGGTGATATTTGTATTGTAAGACAATAATGGTGAAGGAAATAAAAAGGCTTTTAAAATTTTGTTTGTTTTAAATATTTGTAAAGTTATTATTATTCCAGAGAGTATACTGGTATCTTAACAGCTTACCTAGACCATAAATTAATCAAAATGCACTTTTTAATAAAATCTGATACTTAAAATATAAATGGCTGTAATTCTTGACGTGTTCACACCCTTCAAAGAGGTGGTAAAGGAAGTCACTAAAGCAAGGAAAAACACGAGTTGTGGCGTTTCCTCACGGAGTTTGTTTGAGACAGGGCCTCCAGTGAGCATGCTTCTTTCCCCTGGAGATTTCTTAAAATGTGTGAGTGTTTGTGTTGTGTTTGTGGTTTTGTTTTTCAAAAACATACTGAAAGAATCAGAGCAGTAAGTTAAATTCAAAATGCAGACTGCCTTGCCAGGGATGTAAAACCTGTAAGGTGCCCTGCGTGGAGCTTCAGCTTGTCCTCAAAGGACCAGATTTGTCGGATCTGCCTCCAGCGCAGCCTGTTACGCTCTTGGAGCCTTGAGCAGGTGTTGCGTATGGAAAGGGAAAGTAACTCGAGTAAAGAAAACACATTACTGGCATGTGTTGAAAATTGGATCTTTTTTTTTCTAAGTCAAAGCAGTTTTATAATTTTTTTTTTTATTTTCCTTGGTCAAAGCAGTTGTATGTATGTATATATATATATATATATATACATTTATATTTATATATATACAAATATATTTATATATATATAAAAGGACTAGTATAGGTTTGCATACTACGTTAAGTACTAAGAAATTCATTCTCTGGTTGCTCTTCATGCCTGACTGCACCAGTTCATGAATGGACGTACCCTATGGCTCCCTGGTCGGAAGAGCCAGGAAGGATATCGAAAACCTCGTGTTCCGGAGAATCGCAGGACACTTGATGATGTCTGCCTGAATGAGGACATGTGCTTCCCTGCCCTTTCCTTTGGTAGGACAGTACCTCCTAAGGACAATAGCTCCTTTATTTGGCTCTCTTTACGAGCTGAGCGTTCTTCACACACACTGTCTTGTTAACCGGCACACAGCCACGAGGTTAATGATTACCCCATTTTGTGGGAGGTGACTCAGCAATGTTAAATAAAGTTCCCAAGGTCATGCAACCGGTACGTGGTGAAAACCTGATTGGAGTTCAGGTCTCCACCCTCTCCTCACCACCCTGCGCTTCCCCAAATACTGTGAAAGTTCATAAATTCTTCTGTAGGAGTCAGCAGTGGGAGACATGGGTGCCTGCAGTGGTAAGGCCACATAGAATGTCTCTTCCTACCAACTGAGTACGAGGAAATCCACATCATGAGGTAGGCGAGACTAATTTTGCCAGTTTCCTAATTGCTAAATGTTTCATTTGTCTTCCAAGCACACACCTAAATTGATCAATGTGATAAAGATCTCATAAACTTGATAAATATCACATAAAATGAGAATGCCTCCTTGCTTTAATTTGACCAACATTGTACAAAAAAAGTCAACCAGGTGTTGAGTTAACCTTCGGGAAGTAGAATATGCTCCTTGGGTTCCATGATACTGATGTCCTTTATTTTTCTCTCCCTTTGGTCTGGAAACTTACTCTGAACAAATCCAGACTTGAAATTCTGTCTGTCAGCACCTTAAAGTTCTTATGTGTCTGCTGGTTCAGCATATAAGTCACGAGAAAATTAAGCGAGGCCTGCTGGGTCCAGACTCCCAAGAGGTCAGAGGTGAGCATGGTCCTTGAGAGGCTGAGTGAGAGGATGTTGCCCGAAGCCAGATGCGGGAGGAACAGGACTAAGGCAAAGCAGAGTTAGGGTTTATCATGTGAGTTAACATGTGTTGCATGTATGAGGAATGCTTAGAGTTTGTGAGTGTTGGCATGGCACTGGTATCATTTAGCATCTAGTGACTGAGCGATTTAGAAACGTCCGTGAGAATTTGTGGTCTATGAATCACAGCAGCCGATGGGTAACACTTGATCCACAGGAATAGTACTTATTTAGAAGAGCCATTCACCATCATCACACCGTGGTTGGTGAGTGCAAAGACTGGAGAGTTGAGAATTCTTGGGGGCAGGTTTACTAAAGATTTGAAGACAGAGATCAATGAGATAGACTCCCATGTTTTTCCTACTTAAAAAAAAAAGGGGGCACCTGGCTGGCTCAGTCGGTTAAGCATCTGACTCCGGCTCAGGTCATGGTCTCCCGGTTTGTGGGTTCGAGCCCCACATCAGGCTCTATGCTGACAGCTCAGAGCCTGGAACCTGCTTCTGATTCTGTGTCTCCTTCTCTCTCTGCCTCACCCCCACCCCCACTCACATCCTAGCTCTCTCATAAACAAACATTAAATTTTTTTAAAAAAAATTAAAAAATCTCTGCCCCACCCTGACTCACACTCTCTCTTCTCTCATAAACAAGTATTTTAAAAAGTGTTTTTTTAATTAAAAAATTAAAGTCCAAGTTCAGAGGCTATACAGCCTCCAGCATCTGGGCTCCTGTGTTGAAGGACATTAGGGTGTGGCTTCAGGTGAAGCCACATGGCATATTGCAGGTGAGGATACGGAAGATTCTGACACCCCAGAAGGGGCTGGCCCAGAGCCCCCTCCCAGCCCCACGGTGGCCTAGAGCCACATGTGTTTTGACGCTCTCTTGTTAGGCACACAGACATTAAAATTGCTCTCTTCTTGGAGATTTAACCCCTTTATCATTATGTCATCTCTCTGTTCCTGATGATATTCCTTCTTCTGAAGTCTGCTTTGTCTGAAATTAAAATAACAACTCCAGCTTTCTTCTGATTAGTGTTAGAATGGTATATGTTTTCCTTGACCCGTTTATTTTTAACCTCTCTGGATCTTTATGGTTAAAATGGGTTTCTTATAGACAGAATATATAGACAGAAAAACAGCATCTTTTTTTTTTTTTTTTACAAATAGTTTATTGTCAAATTAGTTTCTACATAACACTCAGTGCTCATCCCCAAAGTGCCCTCCTCCATGCCCATCCCCCCTCCCCCCCACATCCATCAGTCCTCAGTTTTTGTCAGCATTCAAGAGTCTCTCATGGTTTGCCTCTCTCCCTTTCCCCCACCATTTCCGCCCTTCTTCTCCCCCTTGTTCCTCCGTCAAGTTCCTCCTAATCCTCCTATACGTGCAAACATATGATATTTGTCCTTCTCTGCCTGACTTATTTCGCTCAGCATAACACCCTCAAGGTCCATCCATGTTGCTACACATGGCCAGATTTCATCGTTTCTCATTGCCATGTAGTATTCCATGGTATAGATAAACCACATCTTCTTGATCCATTCATCTGTTGATGGACACTTAGGCTCTTTCCATGTTTTAGCTATTGTGGAGAGTGCTGCTATGAACATTGGGGTACATGTGCTCCTATGCCTCAGCATTTCTGTATCCCTTGGGTAAATTCCTAGCAGTGCTATTGCTGGGTCATAAGGGAGTTCTATTGTTAGTTTCCTGAGGAACCTCCACACTGTTTTCCAGAGGGGCTGCACCAGTTTACATTCCCACCAACAGTGTAGGAGGGTGCCCGTTTCTCCACATCCTCGCCAGCATCTAGAGTTCTCTGATTTGCTCATTTTAGCCACTCTGACTGGCGTGAGGTGGTATCTCAGTGTGGTTTTGATTTGTATTTCCCTGATGAGGAGGGATGCTGAGCATCGTTTCATGAAACAGCATCTTTTTTTTAAATCTCTTCTGATGATCTCTGTCTTTTTATTGATGTATTTAGACCTTTCACATTTAAAGTACAACTCATACACAGTTGACCTTTGAATCAGGTTTGAACTGAGTAGGTCCACTCATACATGGATTTTTTTTTTCAATAAATACAGTACTGTAAATGTATTTTCTGATTTTCTTAATATTTTCTTTTCTCTAGCTTTATTCTTTTTTTAAAGTTCATTTATTTTGAGAGAGAGAGAATCCCAGTGTGGGGCTCAAACTCATGAACCATAAGTTCATGACCTAAGCCAAAACCAGGAGTCAGATGACCAAGTGACTGAGCCACCCAGGTGCCCCTCTCTAGCTTTATTCTAGGAATGCAGTATATAGAATACAAAATGTGTGTTAATCAACTGTATATGTTATTTATAAGGCTTCTGGTCAACAGTAGGCTATTAGTTGGTAAGTTTTAGGCGAATCAAAATTATAT